ACTTTTTAAAGAAAAGAGACCCTTCTTATCATCCCCAGCTCTTTTTACAGTGTCTGTTATACATTGTTAATAAGTATATGTCTGGAAATCAGTAGCTTGCAACTTGGAAGAGACTTTCCCATATAAATCTTTAAAAAATACAACCTGTAAAATCCCTTTAACTCATGTTACACCTGGAGTTTACTGACAATAAATATTATGTTTCTAAATGAGATGGGCAGCAGTGGTGGCTCCCAGGCGTTGATACTCGGGAGCTAGTGGAACTGTATTGAAAACAGTGAAGCTATTGGAAAGGGTAAGAGGGTGGATGTGAGGAGTTGGACCAAAGACTCTGGATTAAGAAAAAAGCTGGAGGACAGGTTAAGCATAGCCATGGAAGACTTGAGAAGATGAAGCAAAAAAGTGTAACTCTTGAAGTTAGGAGTGTTGCAGGGAGGTTACTGGGTGTAGCAGGTGAGGATGAGAAATTAAGCTGAGAATGGAAATAGGTGGGTGTATAAATACAGGAACATCTGTTGTGAATCGACATGGTATTTCACAGTTGGTCTGCTATCAAATTTGAAATAAATTACAGTAGTTGCTGGCATTTTCTTGTAAATTTTACTCTTTCAGAATCTACTTTATGTATTAGGTCATTAAAAATGAAATGTTCAATTTTGAATCAAAAGTTTATTATGTCTCAAAGAACCAGCTGGATTAATCAAAGTATGTGACCAAACTATTGACACGGTTTTGCCATCTTAATGGTAGCTTGTTTATGCCAGCAGTGAAGAAGGCTGGAGAGTGAGTGATGATGAAATTGCGAAAGGTGTTTTCCACAGCTTGTGAGAATTGTTTATTGTGTTCTTGCAAGAAGTGTCCCAAAGCCTGGAACAAGTGGTAGTCAGGTGGTGCGAGGTCTGGTGAGTACAGTGGATGACAGAGTTTCCAATTTCAGCTTCTGTATGTAGTTGGAGCAGCAGACTTGTGCAATGTGGTTCAAACATTATCTTATAAGAGGATTGGCCTGTCTCTATCGACCACTCTTGACTGCTTAATTGCAAGCATTCTCATCTCCTGGTTGCAGTAGACATCCTCTGTAATCAATTGACCAGGTTTCATGAAGCTGTGATGGATGATACTAGTGCTGGACCACTAAACGGACCATTAGCTTTTTTTGATAAATATTTGGTTTTAGACTGTGTTTTTGCATTTCATCTTTATCCAGTCATAGTGCCAAATGCTGGTGGATTGTCAGAAAGAATCTCCTTCCATCACAGGTAACAAAACAGTTTAGAAATGGCTCGCCTTTATGTTGTGACAGCAAAGAAAAGCAATTCAAGGCACTTTCTCTTCTGTTGCTCATTTAATTCATTTGAAATCTGTCTACCCAGCTTCTTTACCTTGCCAATTTGTTTCAAGTGGCCCAATATTGTTCGAATAGTTAATGTCAAATTTTGCTGCCAGTTAATGCGTAATTTGAGATGGATTTGCTTCCACTATAGCTTTCAGCTCATCATTATCCACCGTGGTCTTAGGTTGCCTGTGTGGCTCATTTTCAAGATTAAAATCACCTGAACAGAACTTCGCAAACCATTGATGGGCTCCTTCCTAAACTTCGTTGATATTTCATGCTATCTACACTGCCTTGGGTCCATGATGGAACTCATATTTGAAAATAACATGAACTTTTTACTTATACCTGATTTCACAGAATTGCCCCAAAAATTTTTTGAAAGATAATCACAAGGCAAAACATACATTTGAAAGAATGGGGATTGATAACCTTCACAATAAAAATAAAACAAGAAGTATTAAAGTGAAATGTCAGAGGTCAAACTTTGTACTTAAGGAAATTGGACCTTCTATACATAATAACCTAACAATAGTAATATTTCCTTAATAGCTAGGCTGTGGATGTTGACGGTTTTGCAGATTCCTCCTACTGATTTTATTTTTGTAATTTAACAGATTTTGTGCATATATATTGATAGTTAAATTCCCCTTTAAGTCTTGAGAATTAAGTCAAAATTTTCAAAACCAATAATCGAAAAAGGTATCTTTTCATTTGCACTTATTGGAAGACTAGGAAGGTTGGATGCATTTTCATATATTAACTGGCCTATCTTATTTCTTTTGTGAATTGCCTCTTGATAGGTTTTCCTGTGGGGTATTTTTCTTTTCATATGTAAGAGTTGTCTGCATTAAGAATGTTAATAAAAATTTACATGTGTACATTTTTGTATATATTGAGAGAGCAAGAAAGAACACAAGCAAGTACAAAGGTATTTTATGTTTAGCTTCATTTAAACTTTGGTCCCCATCTTACTCCCAAATGGAAGATCCTTGGTATCTGTCTTTTCCTTTAAAGTTTCTATTGTTATACTGCACGGTAAAGACTTTTCCAACTCCAGATTATGCAATGACTTACCTTTAGTTTTTTCTGATACTTTAGAACCAATTCCCTTTTATATGTTTATCTTAAAAATTCTTCACAGTATTTTTATTTATTTATTTATTCATTCATTCGTTTATAGAGCTGGGGTCTCACTGTCCCCCAGCCTGGAGTGCAATAGTATGGTCCTAGCTCATTGCAGCCTCGATTTCCTGGACTCAAGCATCTCTCCCACCTCAGCCTCCCGAGTAGCTGGGACTACGGATATACACCACCACACCTGGATAATTTTTCTTATATATTGTAGAGATGGGGTCTTGCTGTTTAGCCCAGGGAGGTGTTGAACTCCTATGGTCAAGAAATGCTCCGTCTAAGCCTCCCAAAGTGTGCTGGAGTTTCAGGCATGAGCCACAGTGTCCAACCACCTCACGTTATTTTCAGTATGTAGTCATATCTCTGTGAGAGATTTGATCTCTCTGTGGGAGATTGATTCCAAGACCTCCTGTGGATACCCAAATCCCCATATGTTGAAGTCCCTGCTATAAAATGGCACAGTATTTGCCTATAACCTATGCACATCTTCTTGTGTACTTTAAATCATCTCAGAATTACTTATACTTAATACAATGTAGATAGTTGGTATGCTGTGTTGTTTATAGACTAGTGACAAGGAAGAAAGTCTGTACATTTTTAGTACAGATACTTTTTAAATATTTGTAGCTACATTTTAATATTAAATAGCTGAAATAATAAATGTTCAGTCTTTTAGAATCTGTGAGGCAGTCATCACTTCCTTTTGAATGCCATAGGAAAGGGAAAACTATACAAATAGGATTGACCTTCAAAAGTAAGTGAATTAATTAAATCTACATTAGTGCTTCTGTAGGGAGTGAATAGAATAATGCAGATGTTGTGATACTAGTAAACCACCTCTAACCAGGTCACATTGGCAGACAATATAGTGGGTGAGAGATGAGGAAAGCACAACTCTTGCTTTAAAAGTGTTTAGTACCATTGATTTGAAGGTGGGTTGAGGCTTAGGCCAGTAAGCCAAGAACAGTATACAAAATGGAATGAAGTGAGAATATCATGCAAAACTCTCCCCAGAAGTACAGTTTTACCAATTATAGAGAAAGCCTGAATGGAGAAGTAATATTTGTAATGACCATCAGTGCATAGGCAGGATTTTAGCAGGTAAGAGATATAGGAAGAGTATTATGGACAGAAGCAGTTTTAGGAGGGAGTACCCCAAAATGGAAAAGCACAGGGCATATGTATTAGAGAAACAGGATTGTATATGCATAAGTATGAGAAAATAGAAAATAAAGTTGGAAAGGTCAGAAAGATAAATTGGACTCAAATTTCATAAACATGAGCGGGGGGCAGGGACAGTATCTATTGATAGGGAAGGGAAAAGGTATAAATCTGCTTTGTCCTATATGGTAACCACTAGCTACATACGGCCATTGAGCCCGTGAAAGGTGTCTAGTCCAAACTGAGGTATACTTCAAGTACAAAATACATACTGGATTTTTTTTTTTTTTTTTTTTTTTTGAGACAGAGCCTCAAGCTATCCCCCTGGGTGGAGTGCTATGGCATCACAGCTCACAGCAACCTCCAATTCCTGGGCTCAAGCGAGTCTCCTGCCTCAGCCTCCCAAGTAGCTGGGACCACAGGCACCCGCCACAACCCCCAGCTATTTTTTTGGTTGCAGCCATCATTGTTGTTTGGCAGGCCCAGGCTGGATTCGAACCCGCCACCTTAAGTGTATGTGGCTGGCACCTTAGCCTACTTACTGGCTTTCTAAGACTTAGTACAAAAAATATAAATAATTACATTACAAAATTTTATATTGATTACATGTTGAAATAATTACATTTTAAGTATATTGGGTTAAATAACATAATAAATTTTACTTGTTTCTTTGTACTTTTTTAGTGTGGCTACTGTAAAAAATCAGATTATTAAAATATCAATGTGGCTTACAGTTGTGACTTTAATTATATTTCTGTTGCATGGTGCTGGTATAGATGGAAAGAATACAACAATATTTGCTAGTACCCACTATATGCCAGATTGCTTAGAACTTGATGTAAAGTTAAGTAAATCCTCTTAGTAAGCCTTAAGAGGTAAGTGATACTTTCTCAGGTAACTGGGATATAGGGAGGTTAAGCAACATACCTGAAATCACTCCACTGCTTAGGAAACCAGGATTCAAATTTAGGCCTCTCTGGCATCAGAGCCCCTGGTTTCCCAGCATACCGTGGTCAGTTATCTTTGAACCATTAAAGTGATTGAGTTGGAGAATGGTGTGATTGGAGTAGGCACAGGGATCCTCAAACTTTTTAAACAGGGGGCCAGTTCACTGTCCCTCAGACTGTTGGAGGGCCTGACTGCAAGCCTCGGGACGAGTCGGCTGCTAAGCAGGACAGGGAGCGGTGGCAAAAACACCCGGCGGGCCAGATAAATGTTCTTGGCAGGCCGCAGTTTGAGGACACCTGGAGTAGGGCTTTAGTAAAACTCTGATAAAGATTAATAAGGGGGAAAAACTTCATTTTGGGCTGCTAGTTTTGTTGTTTTTTTAATGTTACCTTTTTGGGGGGGTATGCCTTGTTTAAAGTCAACTTTTGAATTTTTTCTTCTGTAGATTTGATAATGGGCTGCATTAAAAGTAAAGAAAACAAAACTCCAGCCATTAAATATAGAACAGAAAACACTCCAGAGCCTGTCAGTACAAGTGTCAGCCAATATGGAGCAGAGCCTTCAGCAAAGGGAACGTCGGTGAATTTTAGCAGTCTTTCCATCACACCATTTGGAGGATCCTCAGGGGTGACGCCTTTTGGAGGGGCATCTTCCTCTTTTTCAGTGGTGCCAAGTTCATATCCTGCTGTTTTAACAGGTGAGAATTAAATGGACAGTTATGTTGTCTGTCTGAGGACATAACCGTGGATAATACATACTTAAGAGTTTACTACGAAAAATATTTTACTGGAAATAAAATTTCCAGTAATTTTCAAATCGTTATATTTGAAAATTAAAGTTTCCAACATAAAAATGAAAGTCTTATTGTATATAGAGGCGTGGTTCTGGGAAAATGGGTGATAATCAGGTGGTGATTGTGTGTTGTATTATATCATTAACACATTATTCACATAATTATTGAGCCCTAATGTGTAGCAGGCACTGGGAACATAAATATTAAAAACATATAATCTTCTCTAAAGAATTTTCCAACTTCTCAGGATTATAAAGTGCTATGCAGTATTAAATATTATAGTAGTTACATAATAAATGTTAATTAAGTGACAATATAGTAATGATAATACAATGTTTGTCAGATACTATTGATTTTAAGAAGAAAAATCCTGAGGCTCAGAAATTGTGATTTTTTTCCCCAGAGTCACAGATAGTGAGTGGGAGAGCTCAGATTTAATGCCTTTTTCCTGACCTCCATTTATTACATTATTGTATCCATTCAGCGAACAGCAAGAAATCTTAGCTGACAACTTCTCATGGAGGCAGAATGCTTTAAAAAAGTAGATTGAAAAGCTTTCATAAAAGAGAAAATGAGCTCTTTTGTAAAGTGCCCCATACCAGAATGCTTTTTCATTGAAGTAACAAAATACAGCTGCTTAGAAAGGTGGCTGCCGTGAGCTGTGGATTCTGTGATAGATGAGCACTTGCATGATGTCATCAAGACTCGGGTTTCTTTCATGCCTCTACTGCAGCTCTTGGAGTATTTGCTTTATTATCCTTAAGCTTAGCAAAACAGCTGCTGGCATCAAATTGAGCAGCTTAGGTCCTTGTTACCAGTCAGTGGGGGCAGAAGAGAAATCTCTTCTACAAGCATGGACTGTACATTTGTCTCTTCAGTGTTCTCATCTCTGGACTCATAGCAGTGACCAGAGGACTGCCGTGTACTGGTTCATTTAGATTTCATTTGAGGGGTTATGGATGTTAGAGTCAATTACAATCTTAATTCTAGTCCCCTAACTCTAAATACAGTAACAGATGGTGGAAATGGCATTTCTCAGTCATTAGCAAAAGTTTAAATTATCTTCCAGATTATGTTTGGGGAACATAGTGATCCAAAATGGTTAAAATAAATGTTGATATGTAAACACCTATGTTATCTAAACAATTTACATATACAAATACTCTGTTGGGGGTCGTTCATTTATTAATATGAAGTGTCTGTGTATAGAGAGGTGAGCAAAACAAACAGAAACAGTTTCTGGCCATTGCTTACATTATAATGAGGTTAGACAGTAATTAGTGAGTAAACAGCTAAACGGGATAATGAATGGTTCTTAAAAGCTGTGAAGCAGTGGTTCTCAACCTCCCCAGTGCTGTGATCCTTTAATATAGTTCCTCATGTTGTGGTGACCCCCAGCCATAAAATTATTTTCTTTGCTACTTCATAACTGTAATTTTGCTACTGTTATAAATCAAAATGTAAATATCTGATATGCAGGATGTATTTTCATTGTTACAAAGTAGTCGGGACCCATAAGGTGAGAACTGCTGCTATAAAGGACTAACTAGAATAACTGGTGAAGGCTCTGCAGTTGATCAGGGAAAACTACCTCAAGAAGAAATTATCTGAGCTGAGATTTAATTAATGAGAATGACCTAACTACGTGCAGCGTTAGGAAAAGAGCTTTGGAGAGAGAGGGAATAAGGAATGCAGAGTTCAGGAGGTGCAAATGGACTTGGAAGCTTTGAAGATTCATGGGGAGGCCAGTGTAGACAGAGGGGAGAATTGTATGATACAGGATTGAAGAGTTAGGCAGGAGACAGTGTGGTCATTTTTTAAAATAACTTAGCTTTAACATCTGATTTTTATTTTTTTAATTTAATTTTTGATTAAAATCTTAACTATACATTTATGGAACATAATGTGATAATTTGATATATAATATGAAATGCTTAAATCAAACTGATTAATATAACCATCACCTCACTATTTTGTGGTAAGACATTTATAATTACTCTTATTTTGAAATATACCCTTGCATCGTGCACCTTAGACTAGATATCTCTGAATGGCCTTCTTCCTCCCACCAATCGTGTGCCCCCCTCACTCTCCCCTCCCTCTTGCTGAATGGTCTTTTTTTTTTTTTGCTGGCAGTAGTTCTATTTCTTTTTTGTTAATTTATCTGTATAATTTACCCTGATCTTTTTTTCCTCTGATAGGTGGTGTTACTATATTTGTGGCCTTATATGATTACGAAGCTAGAACTACAGAAGACCTTTCATTTAAGAAGGGTGAAAGATTTCAAATTATTAACAACACGTAAGTGTTGAGACTATTTTGTGAGGGAGAAATACTGATGGCAAGGAGGTCTTTATACGGAAACCACTGATGTAGTTAATAATCCAGAGATGGGAGGGGCAGGGCGTGGGTCTCTGCCCACGAGGCTTTGCAGTGCCTTGGCTTCTTCGGACATGCAGCATGCTACTCTGCTATTGCCACAAGTTGTTACTTCTGTACATTGTGTTGCTGTGGTTCTGCCATAAACAGTAGAGTTTTGAAGAATGAAGGGTTATTGAAGGAATATGTATGAGTATGAGGGGACCAAAAATATATATATATACATTTTAAGATCTTGGGATGTTGGAATTGATCATTCCCCAAAAGTTTATGAATTGCAGGTAAAGTGAGTGTGCGCAGCACGTCCCAGTACGCTTGACCGGAACAGCACCTTCAGTTGAACTTCAAAAAGTAATACATAGAAGGCATCTCTTAAAATGTGTATAAATTTCTTGGCTCCCTCTGTGTATTACTTTAAAAAATACTTTATGAAGAGAATTCTATTTTCCTGTGTATCTAAGTACCAGATGATTTAAAGATCTTTAAAGAAAGGAAAAGTTTTGGTAAGGAACCCTGTACTCCCAACCTGAGCACATTAATTTGCTTTTTTCTCGTGTAATTGTAGACTTCTTATCATCCAGTGATCCACACGGAAAACACAATGCTTGTTATAAAAAACAGATCCCGTAATTTTATTAGCAAGCAGAGTGACCACTTCACACCTTCTCAGAGTGTGTGTTTACGGTCTCTTTGCTTCTGGTTATGTTTCCTTCCATCCTGTGCCCATCTGCTGCCAGTTACTGTTTCAGAATATAAAATATGGTCATGTCTCTGTGCTTTAAAATCCTTCAGTAGCTACCAGTTGCCATCAAGATAAAAGGAAAAAAAATTATAATAGTAGCCATCATTCATTGAGAATTTACTGCGTGCTTTTCCAAACCCTCTCTCACTCTACCATCCAGCCAAACTGAAATAATTGTAGTTTTCTGAGTATGCTGAAGTTTCTTATACTTCCCAGGCCTTCATACATACTGTTTTCTTTTTTCAGGAATATGACTTCCCATCTCATCATTTCTTTCCTTTAGCTAGCTAACCATATTCATCCTTCAAAATATAGTTCATGTGGTTTCTTAAGGATCCTTTTCCTTATAGTTCTTCCTTCCTGTCTGGCCCGGTCCCCATCATTGCTTCCTAGATTGAGTGTCTCTCTCAAGTGTTCACACAGCACCTTGTACAAACCTCACTCCTAGCTCTTAGTGAATTTTGAGTTATAATTTGTCACTTGCTTGCCATTCCTTCAGATCAGTGTTTCTTAACCAGGAGCAGAATTCTCAGAGGACTTTTGGCCAATATCTGGAAACATGTTGGATTGTCACAGTGGGGATACCGATGTGTCACCCAGCGGGTAGAGGCCAGAGATAGTGGTAGATAGGCTGCAGTATAACAGCGGTCCTCCACAACGAAGAATTCAGAAGCCCAAAGTGTTAGTAGCAATGAAGTTGCACAATCTAGCTCTAGACTGTGAGGTCCTTGA